TGAGTCTCTGAATTTCATCTTCGAGCTCACTGATTCTGTTCTCAGCAGCTGTTACTCTGCTGCTCAGGCCTTCCACTGAGTTTTTCAATTCGCCCCCCAGGTTTTTCAGGTCTGACATTTCTGATTGCATTTTCCTCATTTCTGCCTTCCAATCCTCTTTTCTTTTATTGGCATTGCTTTCATTGTTTCTTTTAGTTCCCTAAGCATCCTAAGTAGCTCCCTTCTGAATTCCTTGTCAGAGAGGTTGTCTAACACTACAGTACTGTTGGTGCCTTCTTGGCTAGACTTTTCAATAAGAAAGTTTGGTGGTCTTTTGCGTTCCTTTACCATTGTGACAACTGTGGTTTAGTCCTTCATGTTCACTGTTACTATTCTGCTTGATAGGCAGTGTGAGTTGAGATAGACTCATGAATTATTGGCAACTGTGTTTCTAGTGGCTGCGCTAAACTAGAGAAGATTCCATCTAAGAGGGTAGCTTATGGTTCCTATGGCATATGTAGTGGGAGAATATTTCGTGGCTGCTATTGTGGCCGTGGCTCCGGAAAGAGTCCCTGGCGCTGGGCGCCAAGCTGTACCTGGTTTAATGAGGAGAGAGTACCTGAGACGTTCAGCTTTGTTGCCGAGAGGTGGGCCTCAGTTCCCGTCCCGCTCAGATCAGGGGAGAAAACCGGCTGTTCTAGGAGATCGAGCTAGCTGCGCATGCCCAGAGAGTCCCAAGTCCTGGGGGCTTGCTGTACCTGGTTGGAATGAGGTTCCTCTCTTCAGTTTTTTAAAGTATTGAGTCATCTATGTTGTCTGGTGTTCAGCACAATTCTTCTCCTCTATTCCATAATAATTTAGTCAGAAATCTCTTCTGATTAAAAATATGGATAAATATAATATAAATAAAAAAATAAAGTCTTGAGAAAGATTACTATAAGAACCAAAATCTCTTCCTGATTGCTTAACAGTGGAGTTTCTTGGCAATGCCTTCTGCCTCCAGTCCAAACCATCTCTATGATATTCTTTGCCACAGAATTTTTTTCAAAGGCTTATTAAAGTTTCTATGTATATTAATCCAAGTTTTGGTATGGAATTGCTGTAATTGTTAGTGGAGGTAATCACAAATTCTCAACTTTTGTCAGTCTTTTCCTGAGTCTTGCATGTCTTTTTCTTTTTCAATGTGTCTTTTCAGGTCTTTTGCTTATTTGTTTTTGTTATTTGGACCACATCCAGCTGTGCTAAGGTCTTGCTAATGGCTCTGCACTCAGACATCAGTACTGTTGGTGTTCTGAGGATCATATATAATCCTAGGGATCAAATTTGGGTCAGCCATATGCAGGGCAAGTGCATTACCCACTGTACTATCACTCCATCCCTTTTGCCTTATTTTTGTTATTGAGTTGAATGAGTTCCTTGGAAATTTGTTATTTATCAAGTGTATGATTTGCAAATATGTTTTTCCATTATGTAGACACTCCCATACTGTTTCTTTTCCATGTACAAATTTGATGTACACACTTTCGCCTACTTTTGCTGCTTTGCCAGTGCTTTTTGTAAAACAAGAAATCTTTAACAAGTTCAGTATCAAGAAGATTTCCCTCCTCATCCCTGCTTCTCAGAACCACAATATCTGAGCATATAATTGATTATATAGTTTATTTTAATTGACACGTATGGAGCAAGGTAGTTCATTTTCCATGTGAATGTAGAGTATATCCAGTGCTTTTATTGTGAAATATTTTTCTAACGTATACTTCAAATTATGTTGAATACATAGATTAACATATGTCTCCTGCATGTCTCCAATAATTTCTAGGCTCTGCATCCTATTATATTGACCAATATATCTGTCTTTATACGAGTTATAGATTTTTTAAATTACTATGACTTTGTATTATATTGTGAAATAAGGACTTTTGATGACATTAATTTGTTTTTTCTCAAGATTGATTTAGCCAATACAGTTTTTTTGATATGTCACAAATTTTAGAATTGACTTTTTAATTTTGTGAAAAATGTCATTGGTTTTTTTTTGTTGTTGTTTTGGGGACATACATTGTTGTGATTAGGGCTTACTCCTGGGTCTGAGCTCAGAGGTTACTCCTGATAGGGCTCAGGTGCTGAAATGAAACTCAGGTCAGCTGTGTGCAAGTAAAGCAATTTGTCTACCTTACTGTCTTTCCAGCCTAAATTTGGGGGTTTGATACAAAATTGGACTCCTACTTTATATGATACAAGAAAACCAACTGGTAGCATATCTAGTTTTAAATTTATAACCCACAGTTGTAGCTCTGCACTGTAGCACTGTCCTCCCGTTGTTCGCCGATTTGCTCAAGTGGGTCCAGTAACATCTCCACTGTGAGACTTGTAACTGTGTTTGGCATATCGAATATGTCACGGGTAGCTTGCCAGGCTTTGCCGTGTGGGCAAGATACTCTCTGTAGCTTGCCAGGCTCTCTGAGAGGGGCGGAGGAATTGAACCCAGGTCAGACAGGTCAGCTGCGTGCAAGGCAAATGCCCTACCCGCTGGGCTGTCGCTCCAGCCTACCCACAGTTGTAAAATTTCATAATCTTTTTATGATAAAAATTTAGTGTCACTATTGTTAATCTCTAGTGTCTTCTGGGTAAAGTGTCTATTCACTGCCATCTTCAAAATTTTTGATGTTTTTGTCCCTGTTGTTTTTGTCAGACTTTGTTTTCCTTATATAACCTGGATATTAACCCTCTGTCAAATATTTATAGTGTATGAAAATATTTTTCCATCGAATAGGATATTTAATTTTTGAAATGAAAGTTACTTTAATCACAAAAATCACAAATCATCCTGTTATTCATCGATTGCCTCGAGCAGGCCCCAGTAACGTCTCTTTCATCCTAGCCCTGAGATTATATTCAAGGCTCTTTAGGAGAATGAGACCCATCATTGTTACTGGTATTTGGCATATTGGGTACGCCACGGGGAGTTTGCAGACTCTGCCGTGTGGGCAGGCTACATTCGGTAGCCTGCCAGTTTGTCCAAAGTAGGAATGAGATAATAAGATATCATAATAAGATGTCGCATGGCCTCATTTGCGGTTCGGGGAGCTGGTTTTATAGTCTCTGAGTCTTGGACGTTGATGGGATTACATGGCGCCAGGTTGCCAGTTGGTGGGTGTGACCCCCGCCTACTGGAATGAAAGTTACTTTCATAAAGTGAGAAAAATGCTACTGTCCCATTTCTTTATTTTTTTCTTTTGTTTCCCTTTTTATAGAATTGGGCTAGAGCAATAGCACAGCAGATTGGGCATTTGCCTTGCACGCTGCTAACATGGCCAACCCGAGTTCAATTCCTCTGCCCCTCTCAGAGAGCCCAGCAAGCTACCGAGAGTATCTCACCCACATGGCAAAGCCTGGCAAGCTTCCCGTGACGTATTAGATATGCCAAAAACAGTAACAACAAGTCTCACAATTTGTTATGCGATGTTACTGGTGCCCACTCGAGCAAATTGATGAACAATGGGAGGACAGTGCTACAGTGCTTTATAGAATTAAAACTCAGGAAAGAAAATGGACCATAGCACAACAGTGCAACAATCTTGAAACACTGCTTTACAACCATAGAACAACTTCAGTAGAAGTTAAAATTATAATATTTGAAAAAATAAAACATAAAAATAATTTGAGTACGCTCAAGAGTATTCCAAGTTGCAGGCAGATTTGAGAACCAATAGATCAACTTATTGTGTCAGGAATAAAAATTTAATACATAGTATAAACATGATATTAGAATCTAGATTTAAATTATTCTGCATTTAAAAAAATATTGATTCACTGTGAGAAACAATGTTACAAAATAGCTGTGATTTGTTTTCAATTTTAAAATGTTTGAGTACCCATCCCTTCACCAGTGTCCACTTCTATCCAGCAATGTCACCAGTTTATCATATAAAATAAATAAACAAAATAAAGAAGAGTACTAAATACAATAAGAAACTGAAGAATTCATTGAAACTCATAGTGTTTTGAATATGCTATCTTTAAAGTGATTTTCAATTTCAGGTATAAAATCCAAAATTGTTTTTAAGTTTGAGTTACCTTTTTTGTACAGTATGTTCAAGTGATCCGGAAATATTTGTTTGCATGTGACTATCCAGTGTCCATTCTCCAGTATCCATTACCATTTGTAGATTATTATTAGTTGAGGAAACGTTCCTTCTCTATTTTAGACTTTGGCTCCTTTGTCATGAATTTAATTTCTCTCTCACTTCCTCTTGCCACTCTCTATCTTTACATATATCTACACTATATGTAGATATAGTGTATTTGTCTATCATTTGTCTATCCACACATATCTACAAGAGTTATGTGAAAAAATGTGCATTGCCCCTTATCATGGAAATGAAACTTAAATGCCAAGAGATATCATCTCACACCTGTGAGTTAGAATGGCCTATTTATCAACAAGTGCTTGGCGTATGTAGAAAACAAGAAAATCTCTACCCTGTTGTCTCAAATTAACTATTATTTCAGCTTCAGTGAAGGTATATAGAATTTTCAAAATATCTTCTTAAAATCATCTACAAATTATATCCTTAAAACAGTTTTGTAAAATAATATTAACTCAATAGAAATGGGTAAAGTGGTCTTGCAAACACATTTGTTATTTCATTAATTACATTCTCCTTTGATGTTTTCCTCAAACTTATATATACTTTCCTTCCTGATGTAATTAACTTTTATTTTTATTTATAGTTCCCTTTACTTATAATTTTGCTTTCAGTTGTAAAATACTTTACCACGTTGTACCTTTCCTCAACCATTATCTATTCAATTGAATTTTAACTCACATTCTCATTCCTTTGCTAATCTCTTTTGTGTGAAGCATCTTTGTTGTTAAAATTTATTCCAATTTATATGCAAACTTTTGTTCTTTTGCTCTTAAAAGTTGAAAAATATTAATCTTCTAGAAAAATTGTATAGATTCATACACTTACGTCTTCAAATGTTCTCATAACCAAATCATATATTTTATGTTGTAGGATTTGAAATTTCTGAAAACCAGAAGAAGCAGGCTGCAATGACGGTGAGAAAAGTTTCTAAACAGAAAGGTAAAATCTCTTTTAGTCAAACATCTGCCTTCCCCACTGTCTTAACTAAGAAGCCATATTCTATTCTTAGTTATTTACCAAACTTTCTTTAACCAGTCATCTGTTCTAGGTTACTTGGGTTGTTTCCAGATTTTGGCTATTGTGAACAGGGCTGCAATGAACATACAGGTACAGATGACATTTCAACTGCTTTTTAGCAATCTCAGGATATATTCCCAGAAGTTGTATTGCGGGGTCCTATGGAAGCTCAATTCTGTTTTTTGAAGGACTGTCCATATTGTTTTCCAAAAAGTCATTCCCACTAACAGTGAAAGAGTGTCCCTTTTCACCCACATCCACACCAGCACTGGTTGCTTTTGTTCTTTTGAGTGTGTGCCAGTCTCTCTGGTGTGAGATGATATCTCATGTTATTTTGATTTGCATCTCCCTTATGGCTAGCGATGTGGAGCATTTTTTCATGTGCATTTTGACCATTTATAATTCTTTTTTGAGAAAACTTCTGTTCATTTCTTCTCCCCATTTCTGATGGGGTTGGAGGTTTTATGCTTGTACAATTCTACTAGTGTCTTGTATATAATGGATATTAATCTCTTGTTAGATGGGTTTTGGGTAAATATTCTTTCTCATTCTGTGGGCTCTTTCTACATTTTGGTCACTGTTTCTTTTGAAGTGCAGTGGCTTCTTAGTTTGATGTAGTCCCATTTGTTTATGTTTGCTTCCACTTACATGGTTAGTGCTGTTTTACCTTAAGCTTTTAGCTTCAATGTAATGGAGAGTTCTACCTACATTTTCCTCTATGTACCTTATAGATTTATTTCTGTTAGTGAGGTCTTTAATCCACTGTGATCTGACTTTTTTGCCTGGCATTATACAGAAGTGGGAGTTCATTTGTTTACAGTTAGCTATCCAGTTTTCCCAGCATCACTTGTTGAAGAGGCTTTACTTGTTCTGCTTCAAATTTCTTGCTATTTTGTCAAAGACTAAGTGGCCATACATTTGGGGGTCTGTGACAGAATATTCAATTCTGTTCCATTGGTCTGCAGGTCTGTTTCTAGCCCAAAACCATGATGTTTTAATTACTAATGCTTTGTAGTAGAGTTTGATGCTGGGGAAGGTGATGCCACCCATCTTATATTTCCCAACAATTGCTTTAGCTATTCATGGGGGTTTATTGTTCCATACGAATTTCTGGAGTGTTCTATTTCTTTGAAAAAAGTCATGGTTATCCTTATAGGGATCATATCAAATTTGTATAGTACCTTGGGCAGTATTGCCATTTTGATAATGTTAATCCTCCCTATCCATGAGTAGGGGATGTGTCTCCATTTCCTGGTGCCGTCTTTTATTTCTTGAAGTAATGTTTTGTAATTTTCCTTGTATAGGTTCTTCACCTCTTTGGTTAAGCTGATTCAAAAGTACTTGATTTTCTGAGGTACTGTTGTGAATGGTATTTTTATTTAATGTCTCTTACGTCTCTTTCATTATTTGTATATATGAAAGCCATGGACTATTGGATGTTTATTTTGTAGCGTGCCACTTTACTTTATCGACATATTGTTTCTAGGTGATTTTCTGTAGAGTCTTTAGGTTTTGTTAAGTATAGTATCATATCATCTGCAAATAGTGAGAGCTTGTCCTCTTCCTTTCCTATCTGTATGCAATTTATATCTTTTCCTTTCCTAACTGCTACAGCCAGGTCTTCCACTACTATATCGAACAGGAGTGGTGGAAGCGGGCAACCTTGTCTTAGGCTGATCTCAGAGGGAAGAATTTTAGTGTTTCCCTACTGATAATGACACTTGCCGTGGACTTTTGGTAGATGGCTTTGACTATATTGATGAAAGTTGCTTTGATTTCTATTTATCTTGAGTTTTCATCATAAACTGGTGCTGGATCTTGTCAAATGGTTTCTCTGTATCTCTGATATGATCATATGGTTTTATCTTTTCTTTTGTTGATATGATGGATTATGTTGATTGATTTCCGAATGTTAAACCATCCTTGCATCCCTGGGATGAATCCTACTTGGTCATGGTTTATGATCTTTTTGATGAGTAGTTGGATTCTATTTGCTAGTAGTTTGTTGAGGATCTTTGCATCTGTGTTCATCAGGGATATCGGCCTGTAATTCTCTTTCTTTGTGGTATCTATGTCTGCTTTTGGTATCTGTGTGATATTTGCTTCTTAGAAACTGTTTGTAAGTGTTTTTGATATTTCAATTTCATGGAAAAGCTTAAAGAGGATTGGGAGTAAGTCCTCTTTAAAGATTTGGAAGAATTCACTAGTGAATCTATCTGGGCCAAGAGTATTTTTGCTTGGGGAGAATTTTTATTTCCGTTTCAATTTACTTGAAAAATTTACGTGCAAAATTCTACCTCACAGAACGAGGAGAAAAGAATGCAAGGTTTAAGAAGAAGACTCCCAGAACAACCACCAACTGGGAACTCTTTGGCTCTGTTGCAGCAACATGGGAAGATGCCGTCATTGACAACATTGATGAGGAATATGATCGAATGATTCAGCACCTCCATGATTGTGCAAGGAATGCCAAGAGAGAGATAACCACAAAAAACCGTCTTTCTTCGAACACTCTTGAACTTATTCGCCAACGTGGCGTGGCACGTGCCTCAGGCAACCACAAGCAAACGTCCGAACTGGCAAAACAGTGCAGAAAAGCCATCAAGGATGACCTCAAAAACAGGAGAGCAGCAGTACTGGTAGATGCAGCAGAAGCTGGGAAAAACATTCGTAATGCCCGCCTGTCCTTCACCAACTACAAAACCAAGATGACTGCCCTCCGACATCATGATGGATCTATCACATCTTCCAGAAGGGCAATGGAGAAGATTATTCATGAATTCTACTCAGATCTCTTTAATAGCCACATCCACTTGCCCACATACCACATACCACATGATGGATATGTCGTTCCCAATGTTCTCCCTTCCGAAATCCAACATGCCATCTCGTCGGTAAAGAAACAAAAAGCACCTGGCCCAGACAAGATCAGACCTGAACACCTGAAGAACTTACCATCAGTACTCATCAATACATTAGCTCGACTCTTCACACGCTACCTGTCTGAATGCAAGGTTCCATCCCGATGGAAAACCAGCAAGACTGTACTACTATACAAGAAAGGAGACATCCACGACATTGGCAACTATCGCCCAATCTGCCTATTGTCTGTCATCTACAAACTATTCACTCGAGTCATCCTGAATAGGATTAGCAGAACACTAGATGAAGGACAACCATGTGAACAAGCTGGATTCCGAAAAGGATTCAGTACCATCGACCATATCCACACAATAACCAAGCTCATTGAGGTATCTCGGGAGTTCAAGATGCCGCTCTGTCTAACGTTCATTGATTTAAAGAAGGCCTTTGATTCTGTTGAGACGGAAGCGGTCATGGAAGCCCTAGCCAATCAGGGCGTACAAACTCAATACATCAGGATCCTTCGTGAGCTCTATTGCGGATTCACTACCAAGATCTCACCATTCTACAAAGAAGTAATCATCCATATCAAGAGAGGGGTTCGGCAGGGTGATACCATTTCACCAAAACTCTTCAGTGCCACCCTCGAGAACATCATGCGACGACTAGAATGGGAAAACATGGGAGTGAAGATAGATGGTCGGCAACTACACCACCTCCGCTTTGCTGATGACATCGTTTTAATAACACCAAACATCAGCCAAGCTGCACAAATGTTTGCGGACTTTGACCGTGAGTGTGGAAAGGTTGGACTACAGCTGAATCTTACGAAGACAATGTTTATGAGAAACAGCCTTGTTCCTGACGCTCCATTCACTCTCAACGGAACCACCATCTCCGAATGCAACAGTTATATATACTTAGGTCGAGAAATCAACATGATGAATGACCTGGCACCTGAGTTACGCAGGAGGAAGAGAGCGGCTTGGAATGCCTTCAAGAGCATTGAAGAAATAACTAAAAGGACAAAGAACCTCCAACTACGAGCACATCTCTTTGATTCCACTATTCTTCCTGCATTAACATATGCCTCAGAGACCTGGACCCTACGAAAACAGGATGAGAACACTATTCGGGTCTCTCAAAGAGGAATCGAAAGAACTATGCTTGGAATATCACGATTCACTCAAATGAGAGATAGAATCCGGAGTTCTGATCTTCGTCAACGCTCAAGAATCAGAGACGCTGTCTCATTTGCCAAAACATCAAAAATCAGATGGGCTGGACATGTAATGAGGTTTACAGACAACCGCTGGACTAGAGCCATTACTGATTGGATTCCACGAGACATCAAAAGATCACGTGGACGCCCACCTATAAGATGGTCAGACTTCTTCGTCAAGACCCTAAATGATCGGTTTGAGGCTCTACATGTTCCTAAAACGAACAGATACCATTGGGCTACGCTAGCACGCAACCGGGATGAATGGAGACGTTACTGGCACCCGCTCGAATAAATCGATGAATAACGGGGATTAAGTGATTAAGTGATTAAGTGATTCAATTTACTTGATGGTGATAGGTCTGTTCAGGTACTACAGGTCTTCTTGGTTCAGCCTTGGGAGGCTATAGAAATCAAGGAATTTATCCATTTCCTCGTGGTTTTTGTGTTTCGTGGCATAAAGCTTCTCAAAGTACTCCCTAAAGATCCTTTGAATTTCTGTAGTTTTGGTTGTAATGACCCCCTTTTCATTTCTGATTCGGTTTATTAGGGTTTTTTCTATCCTTTTTTTTGGTGAGTCTTGCTAGAGGTTTATCGATCTTGTTTATTTTCTCTAAGAACCAGTTCTTGCTTTCATTGATCTTTCAGATTGTCTTTTGGGTTTCCATCTCGTCTATTTCTCTCTGAGTTTTATTATTTCCTTCCTCCTACCCCAGTTGTGCCCCTTTTTATTTGTCCTTCTCCAAGCTCTTGGGCTGTGAGGTTAGGCTATTTATGTGGGCTCACTCTTCCTTCCTGAGGAATGCTTGTGGAGATATAAACTTTCCTCTTAATGAAG